CTCCTTCAGACAGCCCATGAAGTTGTTGCTGACTGGAGATCCAGGAAGGTCTGCTGTGCTGGGGCTCCCCCCCACATAAAAAAAGTCATCCGACCCCAGCATGGTGTAGTCCTCCTGAGTGTAGCCCGTCGTGGTCAGAATCCCATCCACTGATATCGTCACCTGCAGATGAGAGGACACAAAATGGTTTCTTTGATTGAAACGACGCCAACGGGACACCTGAAAGGTTCACCACCATGTTTCTGATCAAACAGACCAAACATGAAAAAGAAAAGGTAGATCTAAAGTCTCGAGTGTCCTTCACACTAACATGGTGACCCCAAGAGGCACGAGGTGTCCATAGACCTGTTCTAAAAACATCTGAGAAAAGAGTAAAAAGACCTTTTTGTTGCCATCTTTTGTAAGACACTATTGGTAAAAAAAGGATTAAAATATATTTATTTTAGTTCAAGTTTAGTTAAAGTTTGTGTCGTGAATCAGACCGTTAGGATTTGGGCAAAAGCAGAAAAAACTCTTCATTCAAAAGAGCGTGATCTACAACGCTGGCATGCATCCACCTGATTTCTACATGCAACGACTTAGAAATGACTCGATACTCAAAGAGAAGGGAAATGATCACTGTGGGAGCGAGGAAGAGGGACAAAGAGGGAAATCGATGGGAATTCCAAACCAGAGATCAACAGGAAATGAAGACGAAAACAGAAAACAGAGAAATGAATATTGGGTGATATCTACCATACAGTGGAGTTTGTTTAGCATGTCGAGTCCAGAACCGGCCGGCTTTGGACATCACAACAACAACAAACATCAAAACATGAGCCAGGGTAGACGGACAGTGATGTCATAAACAAAACAAATAACAGTGAAGCAGAGGTAAAGAACTTTTATCATGAAAATGATTCATTTATTACAAGTAAAACTCCTAAAAGCAGAGAAGATGCCTGACTTCCATCTCTGAAGAAAACTGAGTGAGACTAATGAAACGTGTCTCCAGCCAACATGTGGACCCGCTTCCGGGTCGGTTCCTTACCTGCCGGAGGTTTCGAGTCACTTTGACTTCATGCCACGAGTTGTCGTTGAACTTCCCGTTGACAGGCTCCACGATGGCTTCAAAGGCTCCAGATCCCAGGTTAATAACGAGGGACACCGCCCCATCCTTCAGCGCCAGGTTGACGTAGTCGGCTGACTTCCCCGTGTGAAGGATGAGACCATTACGCTGCCACGTCTTGAAGGAGAGCGTGATCTCGTCACTACTGCTCTGGATGGGGTTCTGGGAGAGGTCGTAGCAGAAGAACTCAGAGCCCCGGAAGGTGGCCACGTTCTCCTCCCTCGCTGTGAGGAGAAGGAAACAAATGGTAAATGACCTTTATTTACACAACCCCCCAAGTCACTTTACAACATAACAGTTCTTCACCCATTCACATGCAGGTGGTCACGTGCAGTTCAATAACAGAGGCAAGGCATCACCCATCCTTCCAACCGCCTCAAGCAGGCTAGGAGAGTGAAGTATCTTGCCCAAGGACACTCTGAGATTGCAAGTGGCCACAGAAGGCAGCCTGAGTCTGAGTGACATTTCATTCACCCTGCAAAGGTTGTGGCTAAACAACTCACAGCTGCTCTTGATGGACAGAACATCTATGATAGCTTCCAGTCAGGTTTTCGTAAAGCTCATTCTACTGAAACAGCTCTTCTTAGGGTCTCTAATGACCTTCTGACTCACAGTGATGTAGGGTTATGGTTCTGGTCCTGCTGGACCTGACTGCAGCCTTTGACACTGTTGACCATCACCTGCTACTGGAGAGGCTGAGAGACTGGGTAGGCCTATCAGGAACTGCTCTGGAGTGGTTCTCCTCTTATCTCTCTGAGCGCTCCTTTTCTATGGCCGTCTCCAAGTTTAGGTCCTCCACCACCTCTCTTACCCATGGTGTCCCACAAGGTTCTGTGCTGGGGCCTCTGCTCTTCCTCCTCTATCTGCTTCCTCTTCAGCACATCCTGAGCTCCTTCAAAAGAATCTCCTACCATCTTTATGCAGATGACATCCAACTGTACATCTCCTTTAAGTCCCATGAGATGTCTAAGCTGCAGCTGTTACACACCTGCTTAGACTCTATCAAAACCTGGATGGTGGGAGCTTTCTTCAGCTGAATGAAGATAAGACTGAGATCCTCATCTGTGCCCCAGACAAGCTGGTTCCCAAAGTCAGAGACTCTCTTGGTCAGCTTGCTTCTCACACCAAACCTTCTGTCAGGAATCTTGGTGTGACCTTTGACCCAGCTCTCACCCTGGATTCTCATGTCAGTTCTCTTGTTGGCTCTTCCTTCTTCCATCTCAGGAACGTCGCTAAGCTGAGTCCCATTCTGTCCCGCTCTGAACTTGAGACAGTTCTCCACACCTTCATCTCCTCACGCTTAGACTACTGTAACTCTCTTTTCACGTGTCTGAGCAGAACCTCCCTGAACCGCCTACAGGTGGTTCAGAACGCCTGTGCTCGGCTTCTGACCAAGTCCTCCAAACACACCCACATCACCCCGCTTCTCCTCCAGCTTCACTGGCTGCCAGTCAACTTCAGGGTTCATTTCAAGATCCTGGTTCTGGTCTATAGGGCCTTACATGGACAAGCACCATCTTACATTGGTGATCTTCTTAGTCCCTACACCCCCAGCAGGTCCCTGAGGTCCAGTGATCAAAGCCTACTGGTTGTGCAGCACCAGGCTAAAGGTCAAAGGTGACAGATCATCTGCTGCTGTGGCCCCCAGACTCTGGACCTCTCTCCCCCTGAGCCTGAGATCAGTGGACTCAGTGGTCTCCTTTAAAAAGCAGCTGAAGACTCACTTGTTCAAGCTGACTTTTGTATGACCTTCTTCACCTCTCTCTCTTTCTTAACATTTTTAATAACAATTGTCTGTTTTTGCTAATTTAAAAACTATTTTTAATCACGTTCTAAATTCTTTTTTATATTTTACGTCTTGTTTTTGTGAAGCGCCTCGTGATTTTTATTTTGAGAGGCGCTGTAGAAAAGATATTTTCTTCTTCTTCAAAGGTTTGTTTTGCACATACTGGCTCAAAAAAATGATTTAAAAATATAAAAACTTTGTGTAATTTCCCTTTAACTCCTCGGCTACAAAATGCCATCAAGAGGAGCCGGAAACTGTTCCCAACAATATGAAAATTCAGGAGCAAAGGACTGGAGGGAAGAGAGGTACACAAAGTCCAAAACACTGGAACAAAGAGCAGAAATCAGCATGCATGTATTTGGGAACACAGTGAAAAGACAGAAGCTCTAACAGCTTCTAGAACCAGATGTTCACACAGGAAGGACAAAAGACGTGCTGTAACCATCCACGTGTAAACTTACATGTCCTTCATTCCTATTTGGAAGATGCCCGGTTTTTATTATTTTCAGTTTGATCCATGTGAGGGTGCACCGCAAGTCTCTGTGTTAGTGTATGTTAGCTTAACCTTCCTCAGCTGCTGCTAGCACCAGTTAGCTCTAGTTAGCACTATTCCTTGTGTCCTCTCGTTAGCTGTGGTTAGCTCTATTGAGCTCTTGTTAGATAATGTTAGCTCCTGCTATCTCCATGCAGCCATTGGACGCTAGTGATCACGCCCCACTGCAGAACCCTCATCTCAACCCTTACCAGCATCACAGACCTTCAGCAGACTTTTAGATTGGTGCCATTTGCTCAGAAATGTGGTGGGATATTTTTACAGTGTTTATGTGACAGACACAGCAGCTGCAGCCTGCGCTCACAGCTCTTCATACGATGTGATAAGTCCACCAAAAAGTGCTTTTCTAGTCTGTGTTTGGATTTAAAGCAAGTTACTAAAAGAATGGTTTTCACTAGAAAAACACCAGAAATCTGCAATAATTTTTACTTTGTTAAGCTTTTGTTATAGAAAACGTTTAAAATGCTTTAGTGACCCTGAAGCCACGCCCATCTGCTTCTGGTCCACAGGTCTTTGAGCCGATTAAATCTAGTTTCTGATCCAGTCTGAAACGTGCCACGGATTTCACATGAATGTGCTAAAGTGGCTAAAAGTTTTTAGGTTTGGTTTGAAAAGATGAAGCAGACTGCTCATCTCACCAAACTGATGCTATAGAACCAACCCGACTTAAAGGTGGAGAAAACCAGCACAATCAGGTCATGTGGTCAGTAGCAGCTACGCTGGGGAGAAGAGCTTCTGCTGTGATGTCATACATGACACGTCTGACCTTTAGGCCTTTTATTCATGAATTTTTCACAAGCTAATAAATCTCAGAGTACGTAACAGACGTAGTCAAAACTGACATCATTATTAATCATTTATACAGAAGTACAACATGTGTGTGATTCAGGGTGGAAGACAAAGAGCTTTTATAGCCTCCAGACGGGGAGGAGCTTAGGCTTCCTGTAGCCAGTTGAAAGTTTTTGTAACTAAACCAACCGGGCTCATGAATAAACCCAGAATTAATGTGGATTAGGATGGTTGTATAGAACAAGAATGAGCAATAATCCAGTAATAATCTCTGTAAAAGTGTCTAAAGGAAGAAACCAGACTAAATCTGCAGAAAAACCCAGCATTTGACAGAAAAGAGATATGAATCCATCAAAGCAGTGACACATGGAGACATGGTCATGTTGGTGATCAGAACAGAACCGAACCAGAACCGAGGAAGCAGCTCTCTGCATTCATGACCTTGGTAGAAGGGTAAAGGGAACCAGGAGAGAGAGCCAAGGGCGAGCAGAGAAATGCTGGTATCTGAAACCTCATCTTCAATTAACTCGCTGCGTCCTCTGCAGAAATACTGCACTCCAGAACAAAGTCCTGGCATCTGCATCAGAACCGCTTTGGTTCCTCGACCTTAAAAATGTCACTCCTGCTTTTAGGTTTCTGAGTTTTCAGGGTTCTGTTCAAACAAGGAGGACTGAAACCCAACATCAGCTGGTCAAATGTGACTGGTGCAGCTGGAGGGCTCAACGCACCGCTGCAGGACAACGTCCGGCCCTCGCAGGAGCCGTGATGATGACGACTTAACATCATTTCTGTGGGTTTTGAAGTGATGAGGCCGTTTTTAACCTGGAGACAGACCTTCAGACGAGTGTGGACCACCATCAGGTGTTGTCATTAAACAACATTCATGAAGAATGTTTGATTGAAAAAGTTTTCAGAAGGTGAAACAGGAAGTAAAAAAGCAGCAACAGGAAGTCTGCCTCCTCCTCTCAGACTGAAGAAATAAATTCCCATAAAATTTCAGAAGTGACAAATGCAACTGCACTTTCTCTCCTTGTGCACACTTTCTTCATCCGTCGTCGATATTTTAGCAGAAAAAGCCGGATTTCTTCTGGTCTCAAACATGGCTTCCCAACAGGAGGAAGTCTCTGCATCTCCCGCCTGGTGAGAGGAACCACGCCCACCAGCAGTTAGAAGATTGAAGCAACCAGACCCACTCCACACATCATCTAAAAGCCAGGACCCTCTCTCTGGATTTAATACGTCTGTTTTTTGGGTGTGCAGATCCATCGGCGTTCCTCAGCAGAACCTCTGGAATATGGAACAGTAATGAAGAGCGAACGAATAAAACGTCTTTATGGCTGAAATGAGAACGAGGAGAGGAGATGGTTATCACCCCATCATGGTTTCAACGGCATCCGTAAGCTGTTCCATTTGGAGCCTCGGAGTGATGGATGATGTGGAATGAGTCCTGCGAGGGGTCATCCATAAAAATGTCAGGAGAGACGGCAGAACGGAAAGCTGTGGCCACACCAAAGAGCTCACAGATTAGAGGGATGTGGTGCTGACTCGGTGGCAGACGACCAAACCTGAGCTCTGGAGTTATTACTAGATATTACTAGTCATTACAAGTCATTGCTAGTTATTACTAGATATTACTAGTCATTACTAGTTATTACTAGATATTACTAGTCATTACAAGTCATTGCTAGTTATTACTAGATATTACTAGTCATTACTAGTTATTACTAGATATTACTAGTCATTACAAGTCATTGCTAGTTATTACTAGATATTACTAGTCATTACAAGTCATTACTAGTTATTACTAGTTATTACTAGTCATTACAAGTCATTACTAGTTATTACTAATTATTACTAGTCATTACTAGCCATTCTACAAACTGTCTGAATGACTAGAGCGTCTATCAGCATCTCCAGCTGCTAGAAGAGAACTTCCTCCAGTTAAACTCTGAAAAGACTGAATGTCTGATCATCGCCCCTGAGAGCACGGTTCCCCTGATTGGTCTAAAACTTGCTTGTTTATCTTCTCCCATCAAGACAAACTTAAGGAATTTGGGTGTTATTTTTAACCAATCAGTGTCTCTTGAAGGCCACTC